CCTCGCCGGCCACAATGCCAAGCGGCGGCAGCGTTTCTTTAAGGAGCCCCTCCCAGGCTCCACTCCACTCACTCAGCGTTTTTTTTTTCCTGCTCTCCCCTCCTCTGTCTGAGGCTCTGCTGCAGCCAGACGGCTCTGGAGAGGCGGGCGGGCGCGGGGCGGGGAGCGGGGGCCGCGCCGGGCGCCGCGGCGTAAGCGCCGCTCGCTGTCACCGCGCGCCGCCGCCGCGCGCCGCGATTGGCCGGGGCGGCGCGGAGGGGCCGGCGCTGCCCCCCCGGCCCGGCCCGGCCCGGCCCGGCCCCGCTCCGCTCTTTGTTGTCGGCCGCCGAACAATGCCGGGCCCCGGCCCGCCGGCCGCCGCTCCCCTCCCCGCCCCGCGCCCCCGAGCGCCCGCCGCCAGCCCCACCTGAGCGCCGGCGGAGGGGGCCGCGCTTGGGGTGCGTTTTTGCGGCGGGGGAGGGTGTTGCTTCGGGGTGCGCGGGGGTGCCCTTTGTGCGCCGTCGGGAGCGGCAGCGCCGCAGAGCCCCCGGCACCGCCCCCGCACCGGCCGCGGCCCCGCGCCGGCAGCGCCGCCGCCCCTTCACCGGCCCCGCGGGCGGCGGCCGCGGGCGCGCGGAACCCCCCGCCGGCTCCCGCGCGGCCCCGCCCGGCGCGCGCCCCGCGCCTGCGCGCCCCTCCCTCCCCCGGCGCGCGCAGTGCGCCCGCGCGGGGCCGCGGCCGGGGCGGAACGGGGCGGGGCCGGCCCTCAGCGCGCCCCGCCCGGGCCTCGGCCCGCCCCGCCCCGCCCGGGCCTCGGCCCGCCCCGCCCCGCCCGGGCCTCGGCCCGCCCCGCCCCGCCCGGGCCTCGGCCCGCCCCGCCCGGGCCGGCCCCGCGGCCCCCAGCCCGTGCTGCGGCGGCGGAGGCGCCTCCCGGCCCGCCCTGCGGGCGCTGCAGCCCCGGCGGGCGCGGGGTCACAGGCGGCGGGAGCCGCGGCCCCGCCCGGTGCGGGTGCCGGCCGTGGTTCGAGCGCAGCCGTGTCCCGGGCCGGAGCCGGCCGGGCCCGAGCGCCGGGACGCCCCGGCGCGGCTGCCCGCGTTCCGCAGGGCGGGAGCGCCTCCCGCGCGGCTGCTCCGCCGGAGTGTCACCAGCGCCTTACAGCGCCCGGCTAAAGCACTGAAAATAAATCGCCTCCGCTTCTGCCTTGGACCTTGTATGACCAAATGACTTTCTTTCACCTCTACCACCACAGGACCCTTCAGCCAGCAAAAGTGGGTTTTTTTGTCAAGTACTCTGTCACAAGGACCTCCCTTGATGGGAGGATTAGACATGAAAGTGCCCTCACTTTTGTCATAAAAACTTTTGTCATAAAAACGCCACCATCACATTTGTTTTCTCTGGCTCTTTTCTGTGCCTCTATAAGCATCCGTACTCAGTCCTTGCCAGCTGTCAGGTACAAGACTGTGATTTTTTCAGAGTAATCATATAATAAACAATTGTTCTCCAGTATCAGGTGTGACAGGGACAGACGTTTACAAGTGCACCCAGATCTGTTTAGCCAGCTGCCTGTACAAACAAGTGTAACAAGTCACAGGTAATTGTTTACATGCAGTGCTTATTGCAAATTACTGTCACTTCACCAGGATGTTTGAATGTTGTATAACAAAGCTCCAGTGGATTGTTTTCTAGCAAGGGTACACACTGGTGATGTGCTTTCCTAAGTGCTGAGCATGTCCCATCAACTAAGGAAACTGAAGTTTCTTATTTAAAAGATCACTTGTTCTACTTCCATAGGCAGCAATGCTGGTTTCCATAGGGTAAACAAGAGGTCACTTGTAAGTGCTTAAGGATCCATAAGCTTACAACAACAAAATAATACTCTTTGTTATTAAATAAAATAATTTTTTAAAACTTTGATTCTTTGCAATCTTTTTAATTCAATGAGTCTAAAATCTGTGAGACAGAACATCATTGTACTGATTTACCAGACAGGGGCAAGACAGAACAGAGATGAGATGAGATGAAGGAAAGACACATCAGTGTAGGGAATTAGTGTTGTTGGAGTCCAACAGTGAGAGTCATAAATACTGAAATGCAAAGATATGAAGAGAGTTGTTGGGTTGTGCTTGGATTTTACCTGTTCTTTGTTTTGTTTCTTCACCTGACTTGTCAATTTTTTTATTCCTTCCCCTTCCCACCCGATCTGCTTAAACAGATCACTGTACTGTTCTGAACAAGCAGAAAAAGGGAAACAAGTTATCTTCAGGTTTATGTTCCTCTATAGGAAAATTTCCCAAAGCAAGATTCCAGGCAGAGCTGGCTTTATTTTTAATGCAAAGCTAGAATCTCCAATTAAAAATGTTTAAAATGCATTTCAGAATGAGCACGGTACTTACAGGGAGTAGGGGGAGAAGAAGATCCATTTCTGGGAGACTAAGCCTGCACTGGTGTTCCAAGAGCCCCATGAATCCTGTGGAATGCTCCAACATCTCAAGCACTATTACTTTTTTACTATTTTGGAAGACATTTAAGAGCAAACTAGAGGGAATAATAACAATTAAAAAGTTATACTGGTGTACCTTAAAACCCCCATGCACCAAGAGCGCAGCCCGCGGGGAGCACAGCAGCCATGCAGCAGTATGTTCATATGGCAACAAGCAACCAGATTCGTACAAATCTACTCCCTCCACTAAATATTGCTTCACAATAACTTAATCAGGTCTAAATTAAAGTGTTATCTATCTACAGAACGCCTTTCGTTCCATAAAACCTTGAAACATGCACAGAATTAAACTCCATCTCTGGGGGAGAGACCAACCATCTACCTAGCAATTTACAGCAACTTAACAAAAGCAGGAAGGGAGGATATATTACAGGCAAATACAGGACTCGTTGCAGGAGGAGTGTAATTCTCAGTCCTTTTAGTTTCTCTCTGTTATCATTTCCCATTTGTGACAGAAGTAATAAAACTTCCTTCCTCCAACCTTTATTTAATTAAAGTGTAAGGTCTTTGGGGCAGTGAGCTTACTGTGTGTATATATACAGCACCTAGCATGAAGAGGTCGTGAATTCATCTCAGCCCTTTAAATACTCATCTAAATACAAAGTATTAACAATAATAAGAATAGGATATAATTTTCATTTAGAATAGATGAGTCTTCTGTTTTCAATTATCACAAAGAATAAATTACATGCATCTCAGGGAATAATTAAATTAAGGGTTAAGGGAAACTATTTCATAACAGAGACTTGTAATTCTGGGTTTTTTTGCACTTAATGACACTGCTGCCCACTCTTACAGCATTTACTCAAAATTCTTATTTGCCATAATATTACAAAATAATGTCCCAAATCCCACAGGCCAGCTCATCAGTTAGTGTAGGGGTATGGTTTAATCTGAGGCAGTGCATGTGATTACTGAGATAACATACCCAAATTAACCTTTTGCATGTGCAATTAGCAATCTGCAGACAAATGACAAGTTCCTTCGTTTCCTGTAATATGCAGCAATACACAAGCCAGATTTCCTATTGAATCCCATATTAACCTACATTCGGTGGCAGTGAAATCTCAGAGCACTGTGTCAGAATTTATCATCTTTCAATGATGTCAGCTCCACCTCTTGACAGTTCTAGATGAGATGTTTATAAACAACTCATCCATAATCTGACCAATTTCAGCTGAAAATGTTTATCATTTTTTCACCACTTGTCCCAGCCACTTTGAATGCTTTTACTAAGGGATGGGCCGAGCTCTCAAAACAGTATGGTTGTGTTAATAAGCGACAAGAAATGAAATGGAGATTGAGTAGTGAGTGGCTTTGTTGTGCCTCTCTGAGCTGGTAGGAGACTCAGGGACAGGGAAGCTGCAGAAGTGCCTTTTTCCCTTGTGATAAGGAATGTCACATCAAAAAATACAAAATGGGAAGATGATGTCTCCACATGCACTTTCATTCCCATAATTCCACACCTCTCCCTGCTACAAAATTCATTTGCAAAATATTTTTTTTTAAAACAAAGATCTTCTGGGACAAGTTGCGAAAAGCAATTTTGCTGCAAACCAGAAAAAGTCTTGCACCTTTAACAGTCACCATCAGTCTGTGAAAATGTTGATACAGTACTGTAAACCTGAATCAGTTCCTAGCAGCTTTACTACAGTGCTTGTTTCTGGTATAATAAAACAAAAAAGATTTTTGTAATAGGAATCACATAACTGCACTTCCTTCTATGCCTTTGCTGGTAGTGTCACATGAGTGATGAGCGTGTGCATGCATGGAGGGGATGAAGTGCCTTATAAGAATGCAGGTTTGTTTAACATGGATGATGGAAGGGAATTCAAAAAGCATAAAGATGCCTTTGTAATAAATCAGAACTAACCAGCCAGATCACCTGCCCACTTTAAGACTCCACCAGGGCTGTGAGTGGCCTCCTTCAGTTATTGTTCTGCCCTGCCTCTCGCTCTGAACCAGTGCATCTGAATTGAGTGGTGTTTAACAACTGCGCCAAGCAGAGCTCGAAATGAAAATCCCTTCTGCCTCTGCTTTGCTCTCTCACGACGTGTTTGGGTCCATCCTTCCCTGCCTGGCAGGGGAGCGCTCCGCCCGCGGGCTCGGAGCTCTTCCTTTGCAGCGCTCGGGGCTGCGGGGCACCGACCGCACTCGTGGGCACTGCCGGCTCCACCGGGGCTGCCTTAAACAGGAAAAAAGAAAACAAAAAAGAAGATTCATATCTGTATGTTTAAGCTGAGCTAGATAACTCATAGATCAGTGAGGTACCTCATAACCTTGAGTCTTTTTTAATAAGTTCTAATATCTGAAATAGTAAATTATAATTAAAATTTAATATAATTTTAATCTCTCAAATAGTTAACTATAATTATGGTCATAAAACATGTACAACCTTTGCTTCCTCTGTCCTCCATCCCTCACCTCCTACTCAGAGCTGTTACATGAAGAAAGAGAAAATAATTGTCCCTTTAATGGTAATTGTTTACAAACTCCTTTTCACAGAGGCTATGTTTATATACAATGCCTAGGCAAAAACCAGGCACAAACACAATAGTCATAATAAACGAGTGAATAATACATCCCTGACCATAATTCCAGTGCACTCCAACAAAAGAATATCTAATTCCTGTCACAGAATTGCCTTGTAGGTTGAAGTTCAGCATATAAATACACATGGGAAAAAGATTAGATTTTAATTGATAAGTATTAATCATCATTCACTGTTGTCTCTGCAGGAAGCCCTGTGTTAAAACATCTAGTTAATATGCAGTATAATGGATAACCTTGAGGCAGAAGCTCTTGCATCTGTCTCTATCCAAGAAAAAATGTCAACATCAGCCTTTGTTGTAGCAAAATACCCTGACATCTGAATGGAGTTGCTGCTGCTGGAAAATTGACTGTCCCCAGTGCAATCCTTCCTCAGGTGGGTCCAGTGCTTAACCTAGAGATGAGGCCAAATTAAAAATCTTTATCTGTGTGTACCTGTCCTTAGAAATATTTGAAATCTGGTCTGGGTCAGAATGCTGTGTTTGTGGTGCTTCTCCTCCTCTCTGAACAAACACATTTCTCATGTGATGCTCTCACTGCAACCACAAAGCATTAGCACTCACAAGAGCATCATTGAAGATACTCAGGCTGTTCATTGAGAACAAAGCCATTAATGATTAATACCATGGTAGGAGAAAATGTAGCAGTATTTCTTGGCAGCTGAAATGTGGCAATGTCTGTCCTACGTGCAAAAGACTCACAAATACCTTCAGCTCTTCTTACATAAAATCGTTCTTATGAACTCTGTGGGAAAGGGAATCAGACAAATCCCCCGAACTGAAGAGAAGGAGATTTTCACATGTAAAACTGGATATATACAATACATCTCTCTCTGACTGACCCAGCAGATGCAGAGATGCATTTACGTATCACAGGCATTACTGTCCCAGCAGATGCTATAAAGTTGTCGCTGACACAGACGCTTACTGTCCCCACAGATCTGTATTTTGGGAGGGAATTTTCGTACCACAGACACTACTGTCCCTACAGAACCACATCTGCTGGCCGAGTTATTGTCTGACATACTCCTTTGCCTCCAGCAGATGTGAGAGACTGCCAGGACAGCAGGCATTTCTGTCACAGCAAATCTCCATCTACAGGGAATTAAGCTGCAGCTTAAACTACTGTACTCCCTGAGCCCTTCATGTGGACAATACTGACAGGGAGGAGGCAGCATAAACCAATGAAAATTCCTAAATATGCCTAAATATGGCTGTGTTTGGGGATATGTCAGGAGCAGCAAAATAATTACTTGCATCCTCCTCCCATCCCTCCTTTAACAAGTATTCCTGCAGAGAAACATTCAAAGGAAAAAGTGTCTGACACCACTTTAGATATAATAGATTCAAAAAGGCAGAAGTCACTCATGACTACGAAGTTGACCACTTTAATGCCCGGTAACAGTGACCAAGTGCTAGGTAATTTCCATCTTGCTTTTGAACTGTAAATTTTCTGAGTTTCTAATTTATTAACACCAGAAGATTTGATCCCCAATTCTAGAGGCACAGAAATAAAGGGAAGGGCTTTGCTTTCAAATTCTTTAATTTGGACCTTCATCTTTTGAGAATCTGCATGACCTCCTGTCAGACTCAGGGTCCAATGGCAGCAGCAGCCATGGGATGCTTTGCTCCTCTGCAGCTCTTCTGCCAAGCAGAAACTCTCCAGACATAAGGAGGAAAATCCTGGGCCTGTGCTAAGACATTACTATGGCTAACTCTCCCTCTGGAGTGAACTCAGCCTAAGGGCCATACCAACACATGTACCTACATATAAATAATATGCATGGTATGTGAGCCTGGACTTGGGAGCTGTCTTGGGCCTTTTTTTGCCTGAGTATATTTGGTACCACAGTGAAAAACCCTCCCCTAATAATCTGCAGTAATGTAAATCCTACTGGAAGACACACCATCCAACTTTGTAATTCCCCCATGGGGAGTCTGGGCATTTATCTTTATCTGAAGCATCAAGAGCTGTCCATTGGCAAAGTCAGGACACACAAATTCCCAGGGTAATAATCTGATACAGCACAGCAAAACCTATATCCTTGGAGCAGATTGTGGGAAAGCATCAGGATTTTGGTTGCCCTGCCAAAGCAAACAAGATGTTTCAAGCCCCATCATCTGCTCTGCAGTTCACACCCTTCCAGTGCTATCTTTTTCAGATGCCACGCCACACTGGTTAGTGGCAATGCTGTTGTCATGTGTGACTCATTCCATTTTACTGGAAATTAGAAAACCACATGCTGCACTGAAGAACTGCTTATTTATGTAGTCGTACAATCCCAGAGAGAACTCATCCTGCCACTATTTGTATGCAGATTATTTCAGAATTTTGGAAACGCAGGTTTTTACCAGGGTTCATCCAGAGGACAGATTAATCAATAGCACACTGCTCTTTCCAGGGTCTGCTGTGCCCTTCATACTTTCAGTATGCCCCCCTGGAAATGCAAATGGTATTTTAGAACAGAGTACCTTCGTCATTACAGGATGTGTGGGAAGCAAAACAGAACACAGGGAGCAGTGGAATTGGAGGTGCCTTAGCACAAGTCTGTCACATATTTATTTCATCTTTAGGCAGGTGAATTTCACCCACAAGGAACAACACAATCTACTTGGTCTTGTTTGTTTCTTCTTTAATGGTTACCTTTATAAAGCCTCCTCAAATATTTCCTGAACACAACAAAATGCTACATTTAGTGATTAATGCTTAGTATGAGTGAGATGAACTGGCATATTCAGGATAACAAAAAATTGCAGATGTCAACAGTGCATTCTTTCTGTGGATGAAGAATTACTGGATAAAAACATGAATGCTTTTAACCAATATTTCATGGTGACAACAAATCAAACTGGATAATTCTGAGTTCTGAAGCACAGGTCTGGAATTAGACGTGATTCAAAGAACAATTTCCTATATTATGAGTTTTTCTAGTCTATATATAATTTGTGTTGCCAAAGCAGCAGCACTAGGATCAAAAACTAGATTTGATTGTGTGTTGACAGGCAAAGGTTCTAGAAATTCCTAAATTAAGAGATTGCATTATCTTTTACAGGTAGAGATAAACCCAGTCTTATCTTTAGATGAAGAAACTGTTAAGAAGTTTCAGGCACCGGACATTTATGAAGAAAGAAAATAGAAATGTGATCCATTCTTTTTTAAAGGTTAGCATAGCTTAAACATTCCTGAAAATATTTATTATCATAACAGACTAGACCTGCTGAAATGTTCTCATTTAGGATTTGGTCTTTGATATTCTCAGAAATTCTGTTCACTTCATCAAATGGTTGCAATGAAAAGCAGAATTTAGCAAAAAAAGGGAAAAGACACAAAGTAGTTAAAGGCCATTTGGAAAAAAACATTTGCTTTTAATGTTACTGACTACCCCTCAGGACCAGATTAGAGTTCTGTTATGTTTTAAAGCATTGCTTCGAAGCTTGCTGGTAGTGTCAGACAATTTGAATAGATCTCCATTTTAATTTCCAATCTAGCAATATGGAACAGCTGCCATAACTTTGTGCAACGTGGCAAATTCGACATTCTCATCCCTCAAATGACAATCATCAAGAAGGGACTCTGAAAAAAGCATAAAATGCTTCCATTTTTACTGCCTTTTAGTAATTCCCAGTCAAAATTGTACTTTAGATAAAGAACCCAAACCCTCAATTGTACTTTTAACTTGCACTGTCTACACCAGGAAGCAAAGGTCTCTGGTGGAAGTTGATAGGATTTCTAGAACTATTTTTCCTTCTTCCAGCCAGTGAGCTGGAGGTTTGTCCACATCCTTCTGACCTGCACATATTCAGTGTTGAAGGCTCCCCAGTCAGGATTTTCCCCACAGCTGTAGTGGGAAGTTGTAATGGAAGAAGTCCCAGTCCAGCCTCCCCACATCTGCCTTGTCAAAGCCCCCAGCTTCTACAGCTCTTGCAGCTGGAGTGAGAGTGTGAACTGAAGCGTGTCACCTTCATGCTTTTCCTGCTTCCCAGCAGAAAGAAAATGTTGAAAAGAAGATGGAAATAACAATTCTCAAGGTCTTTTTTTCTGTTTTTTTTCAGACCATGTTAACTCAAGAGGGAAAACTGAACCAGAGGGAAAGCACTTTGAGAGTCAGATGAAAATCCTTAGCATTGGGCCCAGTCTGGGACTGCCTAGACCAGGACAAAGACAGTTCAGCCACAGTCAGGGGAATTTGTGATTTTGGGATATGTGCTCTAAGCACAAGCCCCTGTTACATGTAGTTTGAGAAAGATTATCTCTTTAGAGTACCAAAGCATGGATGTATTGGTCTTATTCTAGGAACAATGTCCCATCTAGCTCTCATTCTGTATTCATTCATAGATTGCATACTGTGTGCACTCAGGTAAAGCTGCCTTCCACTCCTCTCCTTCATTCCAAATAGAAAACTCAAAGGAGTTTTGAGACCTATCACCACACATAGTGCTGTCACCAGTGCAACCAGTAAGAAGAAATAGAATTATTCGGGGTTCAGAGACCCTGTTGCTCCAGGGTGGACTATTTGTTTCTATAAAAATAAAACACAATTTAAAATTCTCTGGCATGTCTGATTTCAGTTGCTAAATTAACATCTCTATTCTTGTTTCTGCAGCGCTTCTCTACTACCGAGTTTGTGGTTTCTTGCCTTCCACATGATACAACCAGCTTCCGACCCTGAGATTTCCTCCCTTCAATCTACATTTCTCATGAAACTCAATCTCCAAGCCTGAAACCAACTCTCACTAATCTGTTGTCTGTTATCAGTATACTCACAGGTATATTTATAAACTAGGGAGGACATACATGTGGGTAGTATGCACATCTCTCACTTGAGTTTGCCTCTGGCAGTTGCCATTGAAACCACTGAAAGCAGAACAGAAATATTAAGCTCAGCATTTTCCAAATGGGCTCCAGCTTTGGATGGCTTACTTGATATCATTCACTTCCAGTCAATAAAAATTATTTCTTCACACAATCAGATTTTATCCCACCTTTTACACAGACAACTTAGATCTCAAGGGAGCAGCTTAAGGAGAGATAACGCACAAAGGCAAACAGGACAGGTTAACTACATTTCACCTCTGTCCTGCTTGTACATGGCTGTAAACTTGTGTGATCACCTCCAACACCTATTTCTATCACTTTGCATTTTCTCTCATTACTGGATATAAGCATTACTTTGAGACAAAAAAAAACCCCAAAAAACCCAAAAACAACAATAACAAAACAAAACAAAAAGAACAAAAAAACCCCAAACCAAACAAAACATAAAGAAGTGAATATAAAACAAGCTGCAATAAAGTGGAACCAGGACTCATTTAGAGATGAAAGCTTTCTGATTTGGAGGTTTGGCCATGAGTATGCCCAAGCCTTCCTCTACACACAGGACAACCACAGCTCCCTAAGCTCAGTGGGGATCTGTGTGACCTCAGACACAGATCTCGTCTGCACAGCTCCTCTGGGATCACCAGTTCTGCTCCTGGGAAGGGCCCAGTACTGATCCATTCCTTACATTCACTGCAATTCCTGCCAGTGCAGCTCGTGGACACTGGTGGCACGAACACAGCAACTTCACCTGGCAATAAGCAGTTTCTCTCTCAGCCTGAGTGCATGCCAAGAACAGCCTAATCTGCTCAAGAAATTATAAGCCATGCAGCTATTTGCACTGAAACCCCTGCAGAAACAGCCCTCCCCCACTTCCTTCTCTGCTAGCTTGCTCTAACAGCAAGCAGACATAAGTGAAAGGAAAAACAATGAGAAAGGAAACTTGGGAGGGACAGGTTAGAAGCAGAAGGAAGAAGCAAAAGGTCTGACTCTGCAGACCGTATTCATGATGAAAAGCATTCGCACAAATAACCTAATTGCATTCTCTGGGACTGCTGGGCTGAGTAAAAGTGCTGCAAGTGCAAGCAACAATTGCAGAGGCAGGAAACAAGTAGGAAAAGAAAGAAAAAGGAAGCCTCACATGAATCAGACACCTGCACAGAGGAGAGCAGTCTCACACACCCCAGGAAAAACAAATCAACCAAAACACTCACTGCCTTTGAGTTACTGCAGAAATATTTATAGCGCCTTTCCCGACCTCTGCCTTGCTTCCTGGCAGGCAACACCACAGAAAGAATCTTTACCACTGGCATCCCCTTCTTCTGCCAAACAAGAAAGCAGTCCCTTCCCAGAGCTCTGCAAAGGCAGGGAAAGAGAGCAGACAGGCTGCAGGAGTGGTCTGGTCTTCACCTGGGGAAGGACGAGTGTCAATCCAGGCACACACTCACAGAGGGAGTGTGGGCATCTCTCCCTGTGTGATGAACTGGGAGAACAGCACTGATTTTGCATTTTGCTCTCAGCAAGGAATAACACAGGAAGTGACAACAAGGAAGTGATGGGTTCCAACAAAACCCCTCATCTTTTCTAAATGGTCACTTCTTTCCTTTCCCTACAAAGCACCATGAGGCACTGAAGAGAATCTGATGTCCAGTAACTGAACTGCTCCTTTTCCAGTGAGCTCTTTCAGGAATTCTCAAGATACCTTCTATGAAAGAGCAATTCTAAAATTATAAATCACTAAAATAATGCATTTATTTATCAAAAGCTTTTCTCTTAAAATGAAATACTAGAGAGCAATCCAATCATTCCGATGAAGACATGCATTTGAATTCTCTGGGCTCACACTAATTGGCACTTTTCAAAATGTTTCCAGTTAGGTTTGTCCATAAGTGTAAAAAGGAAAATCAAAATATGTCTCTCTGAGATGGGCTGATGTTTGTGAAACAGAACTATCAAATCAGGGAAACCAGGGACTAAATTCAAAGCAATGATGGTTTGAGATCATACATTAAAGATGACAGGATCTTTCTAAGTCACCTCAATCATGAAACACTTGCAGTAATAAGTCACAAACTTATCTGAAAAATACACACTACCACCTACTGGCAATTATTCATATGTGTTATTTACATACTGATAAGTGGCAACAATATGTGCACATTTGATTTGCATGAACTCTGCTAGAACAAAGATCATTCTTCATCTTTACAATTACTAGACTTGAAGAAAAATATAATCCTGTGGATGTAGTTCCCACAGCATGTGACTAGTTATTGTTTTCTTTTAATAAGAACTTAAACCAGAATAGCTGTTTAATGAAACACTTCCCATTTAAGGTGGTTGTTTTTGCCAGTAATGGAATATGGGGGGTTTTTAGCTCATCCATAAGTTGGTAACATGGTCCCACCAGGCTTACAGATCTTCCCATTTCACACCCACTGTCCTGGAAATGGGGCATTAATTATTAGAGTGGTGGTATGGGACCAGGGAGGAAACCTGGGGCAAGTGCTGCTCCTGGATACAAGCCCTCTTCTGCCCCAGTCACACAGCAGCCTGGGAAAAGGAGGACCATGGCTGGATTGAGGAGCTAACACCAAGGAAAGATGACACTCTGAAACATCTTTTTCTCGAGTGATTTCTTGCCTTGTGCAGCAGTCCTCACCTTCTTGCCTTAAATTCCACAGTAATGCCACAGAAACATTCTGGAGGTAGAAGTGCTGTGATTTATATGCCAGATTTATAAGATTTATGTGTTAGTTAAAGGCCCTTGTGTGCACACCACACACATCACCTTGGCTGAGCTGCAGCAATGTTTTTCACCTCCATGCTCTCAGTGGAGATCTCTACATGACTGCTGAGGTGGTGCTGCTGTGGATGATGCCTAATTTTGGACATCATTCAGAATATAAAGTTGATGCTGGGACTATGTCAATGTGCAGCCTGACTAAGCCCTCACCTCACCAAAAAGAAAATGTGCCAGGAAAGCCAGGCCTGACCCCACTGAGTCACACTCCAGCCTGCTGTGCACTTGATCTCAGTCCTGCTGCTCTCAATTCTTGCATGAGATCAGCTTCCAGAGAGGATTTTGGTACGTAGGTGGCAATGTCAGAAAGACTGTCTGGCCCTGATGTAAAGGCTCCCTGAAGGCCAAAGATGGAGATTGAGAAGAATTGTCCCTGCAGTTCTAAGAGCACCTGTCCACACAACACCAGGTTAAACCCCAGACAATGCCTACTCAGATGTCAAACCAGCAATGGGAGAAGCTCGTTGCCAGCTGTTGCAGCCCTGCAGGAAAACCACATTTTCAGCATCTTAGACATAAACCATTCCATCCATCCTACAATGGCATTGTAGGCATATAAATAAATCAGCATTTTGAAATTAATAAACTTTTATGCATGTACAATTAATGCAATTTATAGTTTAATTAGATTTTTTTAAACCTGAGTTGATTTTCAATTTTTTTTTTGTTAGCTGAATCTTAATTATACACCATGTTTCCTGCTGGCAAGTATCAGACTAGCTCAAGACAGGCCTTCAGATATGCTGTGCTAATGCCTGACACTCAGAACAGACACTTTCCGTTCTCTTCAATATATGCATTGCAAGTAGTATTTTAATTGGGCTCCCAATTCAGAAGACTGGAATGAGCTCGTGAGTCATTTTTACAAGTTGACTCACATGCTACAAAACTGAAGAATTTGGTGCAGGGGAAAAGAAAAATCAGAGGCTGGGTTTGTGGATTTCTGCACATCCCTGTCGTGGGGAAAAGGGTGAGTTTGTCCCTAGCACCCAGCTGCAGCAGCACAGGGGCTCAGCAAGTGCATCTGTAACTGCTGAAGGAAGGATGCTCTTGGGAGGCTTTTGTTTCACGAAAGCTGTGATCAAGAGATTATATAAAGTATTATAATTTTGAGATCCTCTTCCTTTTGGAGAAAGGACCAGTCCCAGCATCACAGGATGCCTGGTTTCAGGGTGTTTCAGTGATTGCATTTCAGCAGTTCCTTTTCAAGCCTGGGCAACATAGAGACAACAGGGAGAGGGCTCCTCCTCTCCCTTAAATGCCAACTCTGCATCTCCAATCTCAAACTGGAGACAGAGTTGGATTAAGTTCTTTTCTCCCTGCACATCACCAAAGAAATGTCCCACAGCTCCCACTATATCCATGTGAAAACCCTGATGTCTTCCTACTGCACTGCCTGCACTGCTTGTGTAACCTCAGAGCTTCAAACCATTTGCATGGGTGCAAGGGATGGGAACTCAGTCAGAACAAGGCAAGTGGCATCAAACCTATCCTTCTTTTAGCTATGTTACCTCAAAAACTGGTAAACCCCATATTTATTCACTAAAGCAAGGAAGTGTGAACTGCAATACACAGAAACTGCAAGAAAATCCTTTTCTTTATACTGAGGAAAAGGCTTTTTTGACCTGTCACTTTGCCTGTCATAACCACATTTTAACATTTTTCTTTCCTTATCTTTAGAGGAATCTATACAATACACAAATGAAAGGCAAATTCAGAGAAGGCAGAAAATGCCTGGGTGTTTTTCATTGTCCTGAGGACAAATGCCAGAGCCCTTCTGGGACATTCAGAACATCTACTCACTGTATCTTATTCAAGGGAAAAGCCATCTGTCAACAAACTAATCACTGGACAGATTCAGAGACAAGTGAAAATAAAAAGCCAACACAAACATGCAGATGAGGTTCCAGTCAGCAACTAGCCACAGAAAACAAACAAATCCCATCCACAAAGCCTGGCATTTGGGCCCAGCCATTTTTCACTGAAGTCAAAACTGGGGAGGGAATAATGCAAAGTGATCTCCAAACAGGAACTTTCAAATCAATCAATATGACTGTGGAAAGATGGGTATGAACCAAACCTGGACCCATACCTTACCTACATAAGCCGTAACAGCAGCAGAACAGAGTATGAACATAACAACTGAGCTCCTACTACATTATTAACAGTATTAAAAGCCTTAATATTTAAACATTCAGTGATACTGAACAATTTGAGTCTAAGCTCATGGTGACTGCAGCCTTCATTTTTGATCAGAAACACACTACCCCAAGGGAAGGGCTCCAAGTGACTAATGTTCCTAGTGGCCAGGATTCTATCAAGTGCAAAGTGAAGCATCTGCCTGATGTGTGGGCCCAACTCTCATATTTTTTCATGAGTGTCTTCTATGACAAGGGACTTTCATGATATGTGGACTAAGATCTTTGCCAGTCTTCCTCTTGCAAAATGCAAGCCCTCTCCTGGGTCACCACAAGTGCACTTTCCTCAAGCACAAAGGCACAAAGAACACTGCAAAGGAGTTCCTTGATGTTAAAGCCCTGTTGTTCCTTTATT